CCATTAGCGTGTGGTATTCCACGCGTCAAGTCATAAATCCTTATGCGAATGACCAGATGATGGATATCCTCTGTTGGCAGTGCCATTTTGAATGAAATTTGTCTGACATAGGCCGTCGGCAGCGTTAAAGAGCACCTCGCAGCATGACAAATGCGTTACTTTGAAGCTGGTGACGGGTCTTGGTGAGCAGCCGTTGGCGAGATCCTAAACAAATTTGAATGCCCATGGCCAAAGGTTAATGTTGGAAGGCAAATGACAGAAGTGACAACGAGTCAGTGCTGGTTACTGCGGCAGACTGATCGCCGGACACTGCCCGCCAGCATCGGACGGTGGCCGTGTCGTTAAACATTCTGCGGCACAGAAAAGATGCTGCACCCCGCTGTTCTGTACGGGCACGGAAGTCGAAGCAATCTGTCCGCTGAAATGACGCCGCGCCCTTTGTACGGGATCGAATACATGTGGTGAACTCGAAGAACCTGCAGCAATCTATCCTTGGCAGGAAGGCCGGACCAAAATGCATTCGAATAACCGTTCCAAAATATGCATACACTTGTAGGAGACGCTTCAAACCGAGTTGAAACCGTCACCCATCGCCCCACTCAGCTGACCCGGCCGGACCGGTCGCGGGTCAGGCCAGTCGCCGGGAATTTAACCACTGCGCGCGGTGCCAACCCAAGGCGGTCAGCCACCACTGCCGTACAGGGTCGTCGCCGCCCGCAGAACCGTCTCCCCGGTCCAGTCAGCACCGCCGCCCTCAGGTACGTCCCACGGCCCGGTCAGAACCGCCGCTGCCCGCAGGACCGTCCCCACGGCTCAGTCAGCACCGCCGCTGCCCTCAGGACCGTCCCCCCGGTCCAGTCAGCACCGCCACTGCCCTCAGGACCGTCCCCACGGCCCATTCAGCACCGCCGCTGCCCGCAGGACCGTCCCCACCCCCCAGTCAGCACCGCCGCCGCCCTCACCACCGTCTCTACGGCTCAGTCAGCACCGCCGCTGCCCTCAGGACCGCCCCCCCCCCCCGGCCCAGTCAGTACCGCCGCTGCCTGCAAGACCGTCCCCTCGGCCCGGTCAGCGGCAGCACGGCTCGCGTTGTGCATGAGCGCGCCGCGGCGACCTCCTCTCCCCAGCTCACCGCGCGTGCGTACCGTTCGATTGTAAAGGGTCGCGAGGCGCGGCGCTCGCACGAGAGCCGCGACGACGAGGGGCGCCCGACGAGAACGGACGGTGGAATGAGAGGCTGAGGCCGGCCGCGGTCCGAGACGGACGAGAGATGAGACGGAGCGCGCCGACGAGTTATCGGTGGTAGGTAACGCGGCAACAGCCGCCCGATGGCTCACGATGTCCGGACAGCTGGTAAACGCGAGGCTCTCTCGTGCATTCTGTGGAATGCTCTGCTTCGCATATGACAGACATGAGGGTATTATCCAGCCGACGGGGGGCATACTTCGGCAGGGAAATGCTGAGAAGATTGGTGTCAAGTCGGTTAGAAAGGGACGTCATGTCAGCTGAGAGAGCCGTCAGGTCAGCTGAGAGAGGCGTCAGGTCAGCTGAGAGAGGCGTCAGGTCAGCTGAGAGGGGCGTCAGGTCGGCTGAGAGGGACGTCAGGTCAGCTGAGAGACGCGTCAGGTCGGCTGAGAGGGATGTCAGGTCAGCCGAAGAGGGATGTCAGGTCGTCTGGAGAGAAGCGTCAGGTCAGCTGGGGACGGATGTCAGGTCAGCTGGGGTTGAACGCCAGGTCAGCTGGGAAGAACGTCAGGTTAGCTGGAGAGGGATGCCAGGTCACCTGAGGTGGGTTCCAGGTCACCTCAGCTGGAACCCACACCACCTGAGATGGAGCGCCACGTCAGTTCGGCAGAAAGGGCATCGGGTCAGTCGAAGAGAGAGGTAAGGCCAGCTGGAAAGGACACCGGACATCGAGTCACCTGGGGTGAGGCTTCAAACATGCTGGTGATGACGTCATGAGGAAATATTCGTCAGCGTCGTCACATCCAGCAGCGTTCGGCCAGCCGGGAAGCTCACGCGGCATCCACGATGACGCAGCGCGCTGGCGTCCGACTGCGGCGGCGCTGCCGGCGGCGCTGGCATCGGCCGGCTTCGCAGGGCCGTGAAGTGTGGGAGGCGCGGTGATGCCGGCCGCGCCATCCACAGGAAGTGCGCGCCAACCGTGACAGTAGCCGCGCTGTCAGAAATACATGATATCGTACCTGCTTGGAGGGCCTCCGTCTCCCCAGCTCGTGGCGGCTAACGGGAATCACGTATGCGTCCGCCGAGACCGTGACGGCAGCTTCGGTACCGCGCGCTGGACGTCCGCTCGAGGCCATTAGTGTGGATATTTCGGGAGTCTACGTGCTTGGTCATCTGCGTAATTGCATGATTGAGGTGGCCGTCCGGTATCTGTTCGATCACCGCTGTCATTTATGGCGAGCCCAAATTGACCAATCAGCAGGTAACGTCCCGCTCACGACCGAGTACCCCGAGTCACGGCGCCGTGGAGCGTCTGCAGGCGGGATGGCGCCAGGCACGTGGCCGTGTTACCCCAGGGAAACACGTGGACTTCCCGCTGCTTGGGCTCCCGTTGCGGCACGTGCATGTGTGCGCACAGGTGGACGCTTATGCTCCAATGCTGCGATGGTGCTTCGCAAGGATGCGCTGCGCAAGAATGTCGGCGGAAGTAAATGTGGCCGACCAGCACATGGCACAGAAGCACATTATATTATTTATTTATTTATTAGTATATTACTATATTAGGAGCACGACGAACGATAGTGTTTTCCCCATCGCAACCGGCCTTCTGCTCGGGACCGAAACCGAAACTCCTGTTCCTGATACATATGGGGGCTCAAATAATCCGCTGAAGCCTTTTCCAGTTGTTAACGTTTGACAACACCGCAAGTTTTGTGAGCAAACTTTACATTTACCGTGCAGGGGGGGGGGGGGGGGGGGGGCTGCACCGAAGGCAGTACAAGTAACGAGCTTATCCGACCTGAGCATCAACATCTTGGAAGGCATTATCAACTTAAATGAATCGCACGAAACCGAATTTCACAACGAATCGGTACAATATATCGCCCAGCAGATCGAGAGGGCACCCAGAGCTTTGGGAACACTTCGAGAGTTCATCCGTCCTAAACAACTAACCGTACTACGGGCTTAATATCACTGCGTGTTCAAAACATCTTCTTTTGGGCATATGTGTGGGACTATCCCACGGATCAAAAGCAACGCGTTTCTTTGCATTCGTCGCACATGTGAGACTCGTCTACATTGGTGCCGTTAACGTTCTCAAAATTCTAAGCAGTACAACCATGCCCTCTCCACTATTTTCAATTGTGTCGGAACCAACACGCACCACATAAGTCGTCTCAGAAATAAGATCGCGTTTTGTCTCGGCACTTGTGCATCTTGCGTTGCCACCTTGCCTGACACTTATCAGGCACCGCTATTCACAAAACAGACAAGATGCACCGAAGAGTTAGACAATTAAAACCACCATACATCCACACCGCCACGCGGCCGTGGCTAGCGTGATCAGCCAGTGCCCTCGCCTGTCCTGCCCTGTCCTACCCTGCCCCTGCCCTGTCCTGCCCTGGTGCAGGTGGCGAGTTGGAGTGGCGAGTTCGGACCAGCGTATCCCCGAGACTCGATCTCGTGAGCACTCGCAGCCGGAACCTCAACAGTTGTCCTGTTGGCAACAGGCCTACCTCAAATCCTGCCCACCCGGCCAGACGGCTAAGATATTCATATTGAAAGTAATGGCGCAGATGTGATATTATTGTAATGACGCGGGTGTAGTATATTGAAAGTAATGACACAGATGCGGGGTCAAACCGCATCACCGTCCGTCATAATCCGTACAAAAACAAGCACGCCGTGCGTTAGTTACGTGACGACCTATGACCGAGCGTCACGTGGCCGACCTTCGGGTGACACTTAGCTGGCCCGGCTCAGACCGAATCAACACAGGGTTTGCCGACTAGGTGCAGCCTTCGACTGTTCAACTGTTGCCGAGGCGCTCACGCACGCTGATCATCGAGGTCGTGACCTTTCTGTGTGCGAGCGCCTTTTTGTGACCCTCGACGCGTCATTTCTTAACATTAATTTCTAATCCCCGGTTCGACGGAAGTGACGCCTACGCATCCCCCAATGTGGCGTCACCCACGCTCGTCCACCGCCGAACACGTCAGAAAACACTGGATCGCGGAAACAAACGTGACCAATTCAGTGACACAGTCGGCTGCTGCGCACGCCGAGCAGGTGGGCGACACCGGTCCAAGACTGACTCCAATGAGTTTGCTCGACAGCCTCCAGCCGAGAAGATGGCAGCACCCGCGGAACGATAACCCTGCCGTGACGTTAAGGTTGTGCCGACCAGCGCGCGCGGCGCTACGTTCGGGGTCATACTCTGCCATAGCCATATACTGTCGCTCATTAACACGCTGCGAGGTCATGGCCTCGCCCTGGACCACAGGTGTAGTTACCCTGTTTCCTGTTCACCAATCCAGAGAAATCGAGAGAAGCCGCTGTTTGCTTGCATGCTACGGCTGAGACGCGAAGGCCAGCCGGTAATCAATGCCGTCCCACGAATTGCACAAAAGTGAGAAACATGCTCCCTATCTTGCGCTAGTGACTGTATGTAGCGGACGTTCTCAAACCAGCTTAATTTTCACAGCGGAGCGTTCATGACGTATTTTATATCAAATGCATTACTCAACGGCAGGGAGACGTTTCACTACTTGCAGGATATCTTCGAGCCATACACGCCACTTAAACCGACGCATTTTCGCGGCACAGCGTGGTCTTATTCAAATCTTACTGAAAATCAACGCGAATGACTGGTTTCCGCCAGGCCCAACACGAAGGCCATCACGCAACAGGACTTCACATCACCAGCGATCAACAGCTGACGCTGCCGAACTGCAACTGGTGCCGCTGGTGTCACAGACACGCACAACCACAGCCGGAAATCTCACGGCGGCTGACATGTCGAACACTCGGCTGCATGACGACATTTACAGAACATGCAAATCCCTTATCTAAGTATACAAATTCAATCAACCCTCACGTGATTGCGAGCCCTACAACTTGTCTCCACACCCAACAAATGTACCTGACAGATGGCGTTCGCATCGCGCCTCTCTCTTCGGTCGCTTGATTCCTTTGACACCACCAAAGGAGTGTACATACAGCCCGACAGACCTCGCTGCTCCCGAAACGCGATGCATCGCGCCGTGTTATCTGAATCTACATCTTGGCCAGCCCCGTCGACAGGCGAGGGCTCCTTCACCAGGCCCCTGACCTCACCAAACTTCTCATGGTTCTTATCGCCGAGCAGCTTGAAGATGATCGACTCACTGGTGGAGATGAAGCAGCCCATCTGTCGCATTCTCTGAAAATACCACTGGCAGTTAGCTCACCCTAACAGCGCAACGGTCAGGGCATAATTCAGCAGACTTGAGCGTGTCCACACATTCATTCTGACTCGATCGAACATTTATGTGATATTCCAGGAAGTTGTCAATGGAACGTTCCCAGTCGTCTCCCACAGCGTAACAGCATGTACTCTCACTCAGATACATCGAACACAATTTTCTGGGAGGCCTCGGTGCTCAAAGAAATGTAATTACAAATGCCCGTTAGATGGGAAATGGATCTCTCCTCCGAGTCTCTGAATACATTGCCTCCAGTCTCAAAGCACAAAATTGTGTGATACTGAGGATGTCAGCTTTCAACAAAAACTCTTGTCAATGTGCAACGTCATTCAATACAATGTAATCAATACAATGCAATCCAATTCATAGCGCATGCTCAATAAAGAACCACACATCAGTTATACTACATACCACGCTGGGCAAAATTCAAAAACCAAAAACAAACAAATGTCACGCCACCGCCGGATGCTTTTTCATTTTATCTTCTCATAAAGCTGAAGGAAAATTAGCTGTCGACCTCGTGCTTCTCTATCCACAAAATTGAGTAACGTATTTATGACGCCATTTCCACCAGCCAGTGTCAGTCATCCCCTGCAATGAATGCTTGTTGCAGTAAACCGCTGCCAGATACGAAAGGCAGGCTGATTTCGACCCCGCCGTTCACCATTTGATACTGCATACTTTGATCACGTCGTGCTAAGAGAAAGTATTTCAGTCCTCTATCCCAGTGAGTAACGCGACTTGTTCGCACCATTTGCAGTGTCCGATATCACCAGGGAATCTCACTCACGTCAAACGCTAGCAGCCGGTCCTCCTGTGAGCGTGAGCTGACGGCGTCGGCCACCACGTGCACCACGTGGCCGCGCGCCAGCAGGTCGGCTGCCGTCTGCTCCACGCACACGTGCGCCTGTCCACAACACAACGCTGTCAGGGCCAATCAGAGGAGGCACCAGCACATAGTTTGCCGCGGCCGTTTGTCCGTCACACCCCGTCTGCGCTCGTCACCAAACCCTCCGCGCGCTCGTCACCACACCCTGCGCAGGCTCGTCACGTCACCACACCCTGTGCGCGCTCGTCAGCACACACTGCGCGGGCTCGTCAGCACACCCTGCCCGCGCTCGTCACCACACCCTGCCCGCGCTCGTCACCACACCCTACGTGCGCTCGTCACCACACCCTGCCCGCGCTCGTCACCACACCCTGCCCGCGCTCGTCACCACACCCTGCCCGCGCTCGTCACCACACCCTACGTGCGCTCGTCACCACACCCTGCCCGCGCTCGTCACCACACCCTGTCCGCGCTCGTCACCACACCCTGCCCGCGCTCGTCACCACACCCTGCCCCGCGCTCGTCACCACACCCTGCCCGCGCTCGTCACCACACCCTGCCCGCGCTCGTCACCACACCCTGCCCGCGCTCGTCACATCTACCCGCGCTCGTCAGCACACCCTGCCCGCGCTCGCCACATCTACCCGCGCTCGTCAGCACACCTTGCCCGCGCTCGTCACATCTACCCGCGCTCGTCACCACACCGCGCCGCTCGTCACCACATCTACCCGCTCGTCACCACACCCTGACTGCGCTCGTCCACCGCATCCACCACGCTCCGGCGTGTCCCATGCATCTCACATCAGGTACCTCAAGTCCCATGACGACGGCCCACACGGGGCTTCAGCTGCTCCAGTACGGCGTCCACCTCAGGCACGACCATGCTGAACTTGGTCTTTTCAGCCACGACAGCTGCATGTTGCACATCCAGCTCAGGAACAGTCTTGCCCAGACCCTTTGGGTATTGTTCAGTGACTAGCAGAGGAACTCCCAGAATGCGACCAGCTGTTATCTGAAAATGGGGCAAGCAGTGAGGTCTGTGCTGAGACTGTCATCACCACTAGCTTTTCTGCAAACCTTATCAGTTTTAAGGTGAATGGTACAGTCAGATATGCCCTCAAAAAAAGTATGCAGTGTTCCTTTTGCAAAAATCAGTGTGTTTAAAGTAGGCTTCATTAGTTGATAGCACATTCTTTTCACAGAATCATGTGTTTTAAGTGGGCTTAAATTAATTAAAGAAGGTTGGCTGATGAAAAAGGAGAAGAATGAACATCAAAAATGGGAGCATGCATTGCACTTACAAGTTTTGAACATGACTGCACAACACAGTTAAAGTGTGCAATGGCTGGCTTGAATTTTTCTTGCACATCACAGAGAAGAAAAACTGTTGAGCTAGCAGTTACTTGCCCCAAGTTGCCTGCCATCATCTGAAACAAAAAACAAAGTGACAGGTGATCATCAATGCATGACACCACAAACATATCTTAGAGTGAGGAAATGTACCATATGTTTTCAACTTAATGCTATAATCTTTTCTATCTATTGGTATAAAATGTGCATACATAAAGACACAAAAGAACCCAATGACCCAGTCATGTTTACACATGCTCCACACATCAAGTGCATCACCAGAACTAAAGCCTGAGGCCAAGCTGACCAGCTCAAGGAATGGACAATCAATAATCTACATAACAAGGCATTGAAACCAATGAATTGGATGTGCTATCACAAGAGCCAAACAATACTTCAAGCATCAGTGGTCACACAAGACACCCTGCACTTAAAGCAAAACATACCCATACTTCACAGACTGGAAGGAGCCCCCACACACTACAGCAAGTAAAAATAAAGCAACAGGAACAGTAACAGGAATATAGTACAGCAAGGAAATAAGGCCTCCAGCATCTATTTTTCTAATCCAGAGAATACCTGAGCGAGCATCTTATAATGTTTTTCTTCTGAGTGTCATAGTTCTTTAAAATCACCTGGAGAAGGGGTGTTACTTACAACTCAGTTGAGAGGGGGGACAACCTTAAAACAGAGAGAACTTGGGCCAAATGTGGTTGGAAATCCATTTTTGGGTACATTTTGGTAGAAGGTTCATCTTCTTTTCCATGCCATGTCCCCTGCATCCTTTGAATCAAAACTGCACTGCAAAGCTGGGGGCTAAGCAAGGCAAACATTGAAAACGATTCCCATATTCATGCAAAACCCAATAACCTCTCAAACGTTCCCATATCCAATTTCCAAACGAAGCTGGTGGGGGGGGGGGGGAGGGGACCACGGCAGCATTGAGTGAAGTTCGAGTGAATACACAGCCACAACCCTGCCAGTAACTGTATTCATATGTCCGAAAGTGAAAGAAACGTACCGGGAATAAAAAGCCGATACCTGGTCTTCTGCGGTTATTCTCGATAGCAGTTATATCAATGCCGTAATGATCCCAAACACAGCACAGGCAACGTGCGACACCCGCCTTGGATTAGGGCGCATAGCCGCCTGGGCTCAAGCGTACGTGCAACTGCGTGGCAATGTTATTGTTGTTGTTGGTTAAGGGCGCATAGCCTCTTGGGCTCAGGCGTCCATCGTTGAAGTGTTGTCTTGCAAGTTTGGTAGCACAGGTGGTAACTAAGCGCGACAGAGGATAGAAGGAATGTGTCGCACTGGTCAGGAATTTTCATGCAGGATAGTGGTGTAGCAAGGAGGTGCAGTAAACTGTGTTAGTTTCTAGAAAACTCGGTGTTAAATGTTCAGATACATAAACTGATTAGTGAACTAAAACAAGAGAACAAAAAGTCCGGTTTTTTTTTGCCAGGCTCTTTTTATCATTTTCTTTTAACCGCAGCTTCCCCACATGATAGACGTTGCAGGTTAGTCATCAGTCAGTCGGCAGTCACAACATTGCCGTTTAACAAAGCATTTACCAGATGGAAATTTCACATATCTGCCATGCCGTGTACTCTAACGCATGCACGCACATTCAGCTGTCTTCACCATGCTCGTTCAAACCTCATTCATGTTATCTCCTCTGCTTACGCACACACCCACGTATCACACATATACACATATTTGCTACACATAATTCCTATACCACTTCCTTGCTTCTCACATTTCTCAAGCATCCAGTCAGACATCGTACGCAGATATGCACGCAAGCTTAAATGCAACTGCGTGCAACACCACACCATCGGCGCCAAAAAGTCTGATATGCGTCAATTTATATTTTTACACCGGCGATCAAATGCGTTTTCATAAGATTGATCTGAAACCAAAGTACATGGAGTGATGAGAGCCAAGCAATACTGATGCATGCTAGACCATATTTAATTTTGTCTGCAGTTATACTGCCTTTCTGACTTATGCTGTGGTGCTCACTTGGTAGTTTTCAGTATCTTAAATAGTCTTTAGTTGTACTTTGTATTGTGTGTTCTCCTTCCCCTTGCACAATGTCTATTACAAGCTGCTTTGCTACTGATATGGCAGGGCGCGACGTGCAGGTAGATTCCAATAGCCAATCAGCTCAAGAACAAGTGTTTACCTTTGCAGGTATTGCGTTATTTAGGGAGCACAAGAGGCTAAAGTAGGCAGTGGTAGGCTGTGTATGGTTGACAATGGTTGCGCGCGCGGAGAACGCCTCTGATATGAGGCTCTGAGTTAGAGTACTAATTATATTCATTTGGATGTGGGTTTGTCATCCCTCGTAACCTGTTACCCAGTTGGGTGAGTTTCCAGCATTTGTGAGAACTTCTGTTTGGTTGTGATTAAGAAGTGCCAAAAAACTAGTGATTCGACGCTGTACGAAAGCAAGAATTGAACCTAATTCATCATCAGTTCTCAACTAATGCCGTCATGCTTTCTCAGTTGTCATTAACTTAAGGTCATAGGAGAAGTTAACTACTTGCAGGAGAGTGGGGATTTCCAAGAGGACTATAACCCATACACTGGCTATGGAAGTATACATGAATGTATGCAATTGGGTGGTCATTTGCTTGTCTAAGAAAGTGTCAGTATTTGATCATACAGCTCAAAGTTTAGTTGTCACTTGGGTCCATTTTGGTGACAGCAGTGGGAAGGAGAGATGTGCCAATATGCTGAGCAGATGGTGTTGTCAGAGAAAACTTTCCAAACTTAAGCACAAATCACTTTTGTTTCATCACATGGCCATTAGAGAGGCTATCAGCATCCAAATGCTTCTCACATATATCATAGAATGTGTTCCAAAACGGTTAGTTTCTTTTAACCAAGGCATATTTTTCAGGGCAGGCTGCTGTGAATGCTCTTGGTTATGTATGTATTGCCCAACACACTGAACATGCTAATGAACAATGATCTTTTGCCACTGAGGGACATAATATGCTAATCCAATCTAGTAATTTTGCATCAGTACCAATATAAGTTGGGCTATATTTAGTTCCTACACATTTTAGGTCATGGCTTATGCTTAACCATTGTGTGGGTCACTGTCATGCCTCTAAAGTCATGGTTGTGCACCATATATCCCAAACACCACTTCAATTCCTAAGTGGCCCAATGCAATTTCACTGAGAAATGCCCTGCTTTTCAGATTGGGACATAGTCATACATTCCTGCATCAAGAACCTTGTTAGGGCATTCTTGCAGATGGACACCCTGAGAAGCAGTGCATGGAAGCACTTTCCATGTCAGGCCAGACTGAGGTGCCTAATCTAAGGGTGAATAGAGGGTCATAGCTGAGTCAAGACTGGGACATCTGGTGTGAAGGATGTCTACACAGAAACCAGTGGAATGGGTTAATGCCCTAATCACTAGGTTTGACAGCCAGGTGAGATATTTCTGTCTCTGTGGTATGATAGATACTGTTGCAATATTTGTGTATGAAGTGCAATTGAAAATTAAAAAAGAATACATTTGTTTGTATTCTGAAATCACCAATATGTATATGCAATGTGGTTGGATGGGAACTCACAGCAGTGTGTAAAATGCCAAGAGATACTAATATGTATGGGCACCACAATACCTCTTGGTAAATTATAGGTTTATTCAGCAAGTTATTATTTAAGATGATTAACCGCACCTGGGAGGTTATCTGCTGCCCCTTCATGTGACTGGTCTTTTTCCATGTTCTCTACTTGCTTTAGATACCAAGCAATGCTCTGATCATGTTCAGATCTCAATAGAGGCACCCCCTCCTGCTATTGTGCTCAAGAGGAGATGAGTATGCACCTAATCTGTATCATTGATATGAAGGCACACTTTATGTTATATAACATTTACATTGGTAAAAGAAAACAAGTTAGGAAGTGCACTCAGCACAGCTTCAATGCCCAAGAGTTTTAACAAATAATGACAGTACTGAGGATGTGACAGCACATCATTGCCTCTTTGGTCTTCCCAGGACTGTATTTACTGCAAAGAACAGCACATGTGTGCAAAGCTGTTCCATGTGTTTGTCATTCCTTCTCAATCAAATATTTTTGTGTTGCTAATTGGTTTAAAAGTGTGTTGTCCTCCAGCACAGGCCAAAGTTTGCAATTTTTATTGTTATCTGATTGATGACTGCCCATTGATGAAGTATTGGGTACCCAGCCTTGTCTTGCCTTGGCCGATCTGATCCCCTGTCATGTCTCAATGCCGCACATAATCATAATAAGCTTTGGGGCTGTTTGGCACCTGTTTCTTGATACACCTTGTGAGACCAATTATAGAACATTGACATCTAGCTACATGGGCTTGAGGGAATGTCTAGAATACAAAAAAGTTTGATGGCATAAAACTTCAACAGAACAATATGCCTTCAGCAGCTTGCAGTCTTCTTGGATGTCTTGTAGCTGATCATTAAGGCAAGGCCTGGTATTAGTAGACAGCCTTGCAACAGTTTTCTGTGCTGTAGTGCATGATTCCAGCCAACATTTTTTGAAGCTGCTCATATATTTTTGGCATATGTGTCAGCATGAAAGTGGTGTATCTGCTATGACAGACACCACTGGTGAGCATAGCAAGTCCATGGCCCTGCCATGCTTGCAGCTGGTAACAATGAGACCTTTTGCTGGTCTCATTGCTTGGAGCATTGCAGTTCATCAAAGTCATGCAGTTATAAGACATCAAATGGAAGATACTATGTTAGCTTACTGAGTGAGTGCGGCCCATTGACATAGCAGTGACAGTAGTGACATACGTTTTGATCTGGTATTTCAGCTGCCATATCGTACCGGGCCTCAGACCACTCACACACGGCTCAACATTGAGCAGAACAAGCAGAGTCTCATCCAGATATCACACCTACCCGCTTCTCGCTGGTGATCTCTGGGCTCACACAAGCGGCTGCAGAAGATCAGCGAAGGTGAGTGCAGTGCCCGTGCTCATCAGGCGTGGCGCGTGTTGCGTAATTGTGCTGTTTGGTGTCCCTCAACCATCTGAGGTCGGAATATCATCCCACCGACTGACTGCGGTCCTCTTCGGTACCATGCCCAAGGCCTTAGCAGCAGCTTTTCAACAAATCAGAGGCAAAACGCATAATCCAAGTCCCTCCAGCTCATCCCATCGTCCGGTTAGTCGCCATATCCTGACGAAAACTCCCACAGGGCTAGCTAGTGAGCCTCCACCCTTCTGCGACCATGCCCACACCATACCCTCGCCTCGCCTCGCTCAGGACCGAGACGGCTGTCTTCTCATTCTTCCTGTTGTTACCTACATGGGGAGGATAACATCTTGTTGTGTTGGTACAGGAGGTGCTTCCGCGGACGTTCCGGACGTCGACTAACCGTTGGGGTCTTCAGTCGCACCTCCACCTCCACGCGTATTGGCGCCGGGGTTGTGCTCCTTTCCTGCTGCGTTCTCATCCTGACCCGCTGAGGCACCCGACCTGTGTTCGCCTCTGAACTGCCAGTCCCGGACGCCGTCTGCCACGCCGTCGCCGGCGGCTGTCGCCCACCGCCGCCGGGCTCCGCTGACGGACCCGCCCGTGTCGTGTGCCGCCAGTTCTGGCCCTGCAGTCGCACAACCCGGACATGGAGAAGAGCTACTACGAGTCGCTGCTGATCGTGCTGGACACGCTGGAGAAGTGTCTCAGCGGGCCGGCCAAGGACACGACCCGCTTCGATGAGGCCCTCAACGTCAAGCTGCTGCTCAGGGAAGTATCTGCCAGTTTGTCTGTGAGTGTGACCAGTCGCTGCTGGACTCGACGGCGTGCGTGCCAGAAGGCTGAGGTGTGCAGTGGTTGGCCAGCTATTGTCGGTTTGCTTTTGCATTTCCTGGGGGCCTGTGCTGCTATATGTTCCACAGTTCGAGATGTACACTTGCTGGGGCTCACAACTAGTACTCTTTGGTAATGGTCGTGGTCTTAAGACACGATCAAGGTTAGGTTTTGGAAGGACAATACGAAGCGCGAGGGAGATCACCAATGCACGAGTTTCAACAAAGAGTGATGGTCAATAGCTTTATTCTATCTATGCGCAAACATCCAGTCAGAGCATTCTAAAGCCCTAAAACCCCCAGTCATCATTAACTTCTTTCACCAGCTGTTGACGTGGC